TTAAGAGGAACTGCTGGGGCTTCCGCAGCTGCAGCCTCCCTCAGCCTCAGTTCCTGCTGGTTTTACAGCCAGAAGTTATGGGAACTTCTCTTACTGGCACTTGAACCCTGAGCAGGGCGCCTGGTGTGGGACGGGGACCCCTCTGTCCTCAGAGAGGGCCTACCCAGCTGGGGTACCCTCCTGATTTTATCTGCCACACGTGGCTGTGGGACCAGCTCATCTACCTCCGCCCCTTTTACCAGTCTCCATGTGGCGACTACTTTAATTTTGTAGTTGTAGGGCTTCCATTCAGCTCGATTTCAGGCAGTTCTGAATGATGGTTGTGTTGTAGCTTTGTTATAATTTTGATGTGGTTGTGGGAGGAGGCAATATGTGTTTACCTACACTACCATCTTGACCCACCTCCCCCAATAGGATTTTGTTTATAGTTAATCTCTGTTATTACTCTCAGCACCCCTGCAACCACTAACCTAATTTCTGTGTCTATAGAGTCGCCTTTACTGGGTCTTTCAGTAAATGGAACTGTATACTATATGGTCTTTGTTTCTGACTCTTCACTTAGCACAATTTTTGTATTTGTCCAAGTTGTAGCAGGGCTCAGAACCTCATTTTTTATTGTTGAGTAGTATTCCATTTGAATTGATATGTCATATTATCCTTTTCTATTTACCAAACCAATTGATGGACATTGGGTTATTTCCAGGTTTGGGTTATTGTGCATAATGCTGCTGTGAACATTCATGTGCAAAGCTTTGTGTGTTCGTATGAATTCATTTCTCTTGGGTAGACATCTAGAAGAAGAATTGTTAGGTTATGTGGGAAATAACTTTTTTAGAAACTGCCAAAATGTTTTCTAAAACAACTGGACCATTTTACATTTTATACTACTGAAGGTATAAGAAGGGTTCCAGTTACTCTGCATCCTTGCCAACATTTGCTTTTGTCTGCCATTTTTTTTTAAATCCTCACCTGAGGACATTTTTCCATTTTTTGTTCAGATGGAGTGGGAAGAAGAGAGAGGAAGAGAGAGAGAGAAACATCAACGTGAAAGGGGCACATCGAGTGACTGCCACCCACACGACCAACCAGGGCCGGGGACAAACTGCAACCAAGGTACGTGCTCCTAGCGGAACCGAACCTGGGTCTCTCTGGACCACAGGCCGATGCTCTAACCGCTGAGCCAAACCAGCGAGGGCTGTCTGCCATTTTTATTATAGTTTTTCCAATAAATGTGAAATGCTATTTTATTGCCATTTTAATTTGCATCTCCCTAATGACTGATTTTGGTCATTTTTTCATATGCTTATTAATCAACACATTTGTATATCTTCTTTGATGAGTTGTCTTTCCAATATTCTGTCCCTTTTTAAAATGGGGGATTGTCATCATATTGTTGATTTATAAGAGTTTACTGTATATTCAGAATACAAATCCTTTATTAAATATGTGATTTCAGAGTGTTTTTTTCAATTCTATAGTTTCTATTTTCATTTTCTTTTTTTTTTAAATCCTCACCCAAGGACATTTTTGCATTTATCTTCAGATAGAGTGAGAGGGAGAGAGGGAGGAAGAAAGAGAGAAACATCGATGTGAGAGAGACACATCAAGTGGTTGCCACTCATGCGACCCCAACCGGTACGGGGACAAACTGCAACCAAGGTACGTGCCCTTAGCGAAAACCAAACCCAAGACTCTCTGGTCCGTGGGCCAACGCTCTAACAGCTGAGCCAAATCAGCCAGGGCTCTTTTCATTTTCTTACAGTGTCTTTTGAAAAGAAAATGTTTTGAATTTCGATGAAGTTCAGTTTATCCTTTTTCACTTTTATGGGTCATTCTTCCTTTTGAAAGGGAGAATATTCAATAGGTATGTGGATAAGAGGATATGTCTTTCTTTAAAAAAATTTTTTTAAAATTGATTTTAGAGGGAAAGAGATAGAAACATCGATGAGAGAGAACATTGATTGGCTGCCTCCTGCATGCTCCCCACTGGGGATTTGGCCCACAACCTGGGCATATGCCCTGACCAAGAATCAAACCATGACCCCTTGGTGCATGGGTTGACACTCAACCAGTGAGCTACACTGGCCAGGCAAGAGAATATGTCTCATTTGCATTATTTGTTGTTGTTAACCCTCACCTGATGATAGTTTTTCCATTGATTTTTAGAGAGAGTGGGAGGGAGGGAGGGAGGAAGAAGAGAGAGAGAAAGAGAAACATCCATGTGAGAGAGACACATAGATTGGTTGCCTACAGAACCTGCCCTTGACTGGGAATTGAACCTTTGACCCTTCAGTTCAAGGGCTGATGCTCTAACCACTGAGCCAAACCTGCCAGGGCTCATTTGCATTTTGATATTTTTGAGGCCTTGTTTTTCTGGAAACATTCAGAATGCTGTATACAAACAGAAACTATTTGCATTATCCAGCCGGGTTTGAATGCCAACAGTATAGAGTCATTGGCAGGGCGTCATTTTGTGTGGCTCCTTTGACAGCATAGTCTCTGGCTAGTTCATGAAAATGTGCCTTGAAAAGTATCCTAATTTCCATGGCTCTGTGGAATGCTGTTTCCTGAGGTTAGTATTGTTTTTTTTTTAAAGAACTTTAACTCCAAAAAATTTCAGTGGAAATTGGGGAAAATATCACTGGGCCTGCTCTTAGTCTCACTGAGAACTTTTCCAAGCATCAGAGCATCTTTAAGACATTCCAGATATTTTCTGGGTTGGCCTTAGGGTGCTGAGGCCAGGGGAATAGACCACAATGGGCATGCGTGTGCGTGTGTGCGTGTGTGTGTGTGTGTGTTTTCTGGTGGTCAAGCATTGTACCGGATGCTTGTCCTCTGTGCCATCAGAAGCTAGAAATAGTACAAAATACCAGAACTAGACTACTGTTATCTATTTTTAGAAGATAAGTACTGTGGATTTTTTTTTTGTTGATTCTTCTTTCTTAGGACAAATAGGGACAATTAAAAATCTTCCCTCTAGTAAGTAATCAACAAATATTTATTGACTACATATTGTGCATGGAAATATCCATATGTGATGACTTCCAAATTTATTTCTCCAACCTGGACCTTGATCCCAAAGTCCAGATTTCTCTCTCTGCAACCTATTCAACTTGAATGTCTACTAAACTTATAAAAAACTGAGCTCCTGACCTCCCCCCTCCCTACAAATTTGCTCCTCCCATGGACTTTTTCATCTCAGCTAATGTCAACTCTCTCCTTCAAGTGGCCAGGAAAAAAAATCTGGAAAGCCATCCTTGTCTCCCATCTTTCTTTCACACCCATATCCAATCCATCACAAATCCTATTGGTTTTAAATATAATATGAAATCCTGAATGGGATTCTGGAACAGAAAATGGATGTTAGGGAAAAACATAATATCTGAAAAAATTATGGAGTTTGGTTAATAATGTATCAGCACTGTTTCATTAATTATGACAATATCAGTGTAAGTTGTGAAAAATAGGGAAATGTGGGGGTGGGCATAGAGAAACTCTCTTTGCTATCTTTTCACCTCTTTGTAGATTTAAAAATACTTACAAAATTATTAATAAAAAAGCTCAGAGGAGTAGATTCTGCCGGTTTCTTGGTCACTGGAGCCTGTGGCTGGTTTGCTGAAGCTAAAGGGGTGGAAAGTCTAATTTGTTGTTTGGATGGTCTGAGTAGAGGGTGTGGTCAAATCAGCAGAAGGCCGAGCACACTGTATTTTTTTTGCAGAGAGCTTTATCACCACATCAGCACCATTTCACACTTCATTATGCCAAGAAAAACTGATAACCTCAAATCAGTTCAGTCTTTTCATAACAATTTTGTCAAATAACTTTTCTCTAACAAATAGATACTATTGCTTAGTCATTCTTCCTAAAGAACAAAGTTTTCTAATTCTAGAAAAAATACCAAAAGTTCTACTTTTTAAAGATTTTGCTATCATTCTTTATATGCTATCCAAAAGGAAACATGTAATTTTCCTTTATATAAAATGCACCATTAATCTGAATTAAAAATAAGAAATTAGTTTTTCTTTTTCGAAAAAAGTTAGAGAGCACCAGAGGATGGTGTCTGAGTGGGCAGTGGAGGAATCAGCAGAGGCTCCAAAAAAGAGGGAAAATTGTCTGGGCCTCAAAGAATTGTAGGATTGTCTGTATTACCAGTTGTATTTTCTCAGCAACCCAGGTTTAATGCTACTTAAATAAAGCTAGGAATGAATTGGTTAATAACGTATCCTCTCTCTCAAACTACTGTGCGTTCACGACTGAATCAGGCAGGTGGTTTATTTGCTTGGATTTTCTTTTCTTTGCCAGTGATGGAAAACCAGGGGGAAGGGCACAGTGTTGCCTGGGAGGAGAATTTATGAAAATCTGTTCCTGTTCTTTGTAACTCTCTGGGTGCCTGTGCTTTTGATCTTTCCCCAGAGCTATAAACAGTTGGAGATATGCAAATAATTTTAAGGATTAAAAAATGAAAACTTGCTAAGTACTTTCAGAAGATCTCTCGTGTTATCGTTGGATGTGTGCTAAGTGTAAGATGGGTAAACAAAGGTGGCTGTGGGGTTGCCTCCTCAAGGCCCCTTCTGCCTGGGAATGAGCAGTTATATAATTGTGAGTTTGAAGGGGGCAAAATATCTGGACATATGATCGTCAAAGACAAATGTAGTTTTATGATTCTGAGAGTGTTGCCACACTGATGAGAGGAAAAGGTGAAGGTGATATTTCATCCACTAGTTCCAGTCTGTCCTTTCCTTACCTGACCTCTGAAATGGAGCCACTGGCCTTGAAAAGCCTGGTATCTAAAATTAATATTCTTCCCCATCTGACTAAGAAGGCAACAGCTGAGCAGCATGAGATCAAGGACCATATTAATTTAAACAGGGGCTCAATGTGGCATTTGAGAGAGAGGATACTTCTCTTCATAGTGGAGACTTGTCTTTTCAGAAGATTTATACTGACTGACAGCGAAGACTTAGCCCAGAAACCGTGTAGTCATTGTGAACTCTGAGAAACTTCCCTTTTTCTGCCGGAACTTACACTCTACCTTTGGAGTGGTCAAAACCCTAGGATCGCCTGCTATTACTGGTAACTACTCTATTTTCTTTTCATTGTTATAACCTCTCACATCTCTTTTCTTTCTCTCCATGTTGTCTTAACAAGTTGGATCAAATTCCAGGTAGAGATTAACATTTCATTTCTTTTCAAAAGTATTACGCCTTGCACCTAAGCGTTTGTTCTAACATGTTAATTGTTGTGGGTTTCTGATTCCGTTTCAGCACCATTTGCCATGACATACTATATTTTAGTCATAATTTGCCTTAGAAATAATCATGCATTTCTCTCCTCACTTCAATAGCGAGCTATTTCAGGGCAATTTGAAAGAATTCCAAAAGTGACCTATAATATATCTTATAGAGTTCTGGTTGGTACTATTTACATTAGAGTATGTCTGAATGTAAGATCTTTATGTGGCTAAGTTGAATTTTGTAGAGCATTGGATTTTAAATAGTTTGAAACTCAAGGTATAATTTTACTATATGAGTTAAGAAATGAAGCTTTCTGGAGATAAAAACAGATTATTTTAAATTTACAAAAAGCTGGAAGAAAAAATTTTAAGAAAATCTCCAGCAGGGGGCCTTGGGAGTTGGTGGTGAGAACTTTCCACCAATTCAGATCACACTCTTGCCCCATATATTCCACGGAGGTGTAGATACATGCACACATACATACATGTAGACCGCCAGTATCAAAGCAGTATTACATGTAGTACCTAGTTTGTAAGGAAAGTAATTGAAGGAAGGCACAAGGATTTGAGCTCCTTGGTACCAAGCTATTAATGAAGATGAAAAGAAAGGTATCTGTGTAGATATCTTATCTATGGGAGAGGGCTGTAAGGAAACAAATGTCTTTTAAAAAAATAAACACCAAACATTTTAAAGTGTAGGCAGAGAGGGCTCTGGAAATGACTCACTTGATGGAGACCACTCCCGAGAGGGGGGCCAGATTCCCAGGAGAAGCGTGTGAGGCCCTTCCCAAAGGAATCCCTTCCTCCTGTGGATGGGAGAAGCAAATCTTCAATCCCAATAAAATATAAAGAAATTTCATATTCTATATTTAAACTGGCCACTTGATATAAATATTATTTTATGCAGTGAGGAAAATATTGTCTCCAAGTGGAACTTAAGGTTGCTTCTTACTGTTTGTTTTTGTAGGAAAATGCGAGGGGAAAAAAACCTCTTCCTTTTAAAGTTGCATCATTTGAAACTCAATATTAATAGTAGCATTTCTCTTCCTATTTTTGGATGCTTTCTCCAGTTAAACAGAAGAGACTTCAAAATTTTCACAGGTCATGTTCCCCAAAAGTCAAATATGTAAGTGATGAGAACTTGGTTTCCTTTCTTTGCAGTCAAGAGGAAGGTGCACTCAAAAGCCAGGACTGCATCTTGATCTGCCAGTCAGGGCCAGACGGCCATGGAAACCACACTCCAGACAGTGACTTCATCGAACTCACCACCAAGATGTCAAAAGTGAAGAGGCTGGAAGAAATCCCCACATGTCACGACAGTGACTGTCTGGAGAAAGTGGCGTTTTTTCAGTGCATGGAAAAGGTTGAGAAGATGAGATGTTTTCTAGAAGAAAGTTCTAGTGAACAGGCTTCAAGTTCTGGAAATAATGAGGTAACTGGGAGCTAATTTAGTCTCCTGAAAAGTATTAATTCTATCTCATCTTCTCTTACATACATCAATAAAGATAGGCATTTATCAGACCTTTTTCAAATTGCATTTTGTCATTTGAGTGCAGACTTAGAGAACATTTATAATTAGACAAGCTTTAATTTTGTTTCATTGAGGACTGTGCATTGTAGACAACTGAGTTTGGGAAGCACTTAGCAGGCCTTTGATTATGCATCTCTGCCCACACACTACATTATAGTTATTGGCTTTGAAGTTATGAAAGTGAATTTATGGAAACACATTTCTTAACTAGGATCATTTAAAAGCATGGATTTGGACATGAAATTCTGAGAAGCAGTTACTCTGCAGAAGTTTCCACTTTCCTCAAGACATTAATCTCCTCACAGGGTAGGTGGTAGAGCTGTTGACACTGATGATCAGTGACAGGGATAAGCAAGCCTTGCCTGATGGCAGGCCCGTGTCCTCATTGTGCAGTACACCGGCCCTGAGCCCGACTGTGGCCGCTTGATCTTTGGCGAGTTACTACCATGGGGCTGCCTCATCGGGATAATGGGATGATAGATGTTGTAAAAATTAAGTGCAGTACTGTATAAAAAGCACTTAGAATGGTATCTGCCACCATGGTAAGCATTTAATAAATGTTAGCCAGCAACAGTCCCCTCACCTACCTTAGCTTAGTCAGCTCCCTCTCATCCATCCACAGATGGGCATTTCCTGGCCCAGCGCCCACCTCGCAGTGTTTTGCCTGTGCCTTTGTTCCCGCACAGGCAATTGTTTTGAATGTTGTATGTGACCTTTCCTAGGATCATTCAAGGTCAGGACCTCCTATCACCCGTCCTTGCTTCCTCAGTTGCTTTCCCAGTAACTGGCACGTAATAAGCACCAAACAATGTTTGTGGAAGGAACAGATCTATTTAAGTGAAATCTGCCCTCAGGTTGAGGGTTAGGAGTCATTGTTTTCAACAATCAGAGCAATTGACTCTCATTAAGCAGGTTTGGGAAACATCTTTCTTTGTCCAGGTACTGAAAACACTCTTCAGATAGCAAGGGCGATTCTGAGGAGCAACAGGATGAAGTAGAGCTGTTAGGGAAAAAGGGCAGAGGAGTCTTTATTGTGAGTGAATAAGGAATGATAAAATGTACTGGAGAGAAGTGCATTAGGTCAAAGCTTAGGTTTTTTGAGATCTCTACTTTCCCTATGAGTTAATATCTTGCTCAGGATACACCAAGAAAACATTTCCACAGGCAAAATTTCTGTCAGACATGAAGGGCTTCTTCATTGGGGCTGTTTACAGTGCAAACAGAAGGACTTCTTTTTCTGTTCATTCATTTCTGTAGGACAGAGAAGACAAATATTCTTAGATAACTTTGAAATAACCAATCATCTTAATTTGATAATATGAATTTGATAATTTTTCCAGTACTGTTTTTCTCCAGATTCTGATATAATTTTTATAAGTAGGCAATCTCTTCAAAGAGTGAGATGGTTAAGCTGAAACATGAACATTTTAAGGAAGAATTGTTTTTGTGGTGAACTGTTCCAGAATAATAGACATCAAATGATTTGGTAGTGAAATATTTTAGGATATATACGTATATTTTATCCTCACCCGAGGACATGTTTTCATTGATTTGAGGGGGAGGAAGGGGGAGAGAGAAAAAGGCAGCAATGTGACAGAGAAACATATGCCTGCCATACACGCCTCAACCAGGGATCTGACCTGAAATCTGGGTCGAAATGATGTGCTCTGACTGGGGATCGAACCCAGCACTTTTTGGTATATGGGATGATACTCCAACCCACTGAGCCACCTGGCCAGGGCTAGTACATTTTTGAGGGAAAGACTGAGAATGCCATTCCTCAGAAACCCTAAGAGAACATCCATCACAGCTAATCTGATGTCCTTTGTTTGACCTGGGCCTCCTGGCTTCAGTCCTGCAGTCAGTGCGGAAGGTGGGAAGGAATGGCTGGTAGTTCCATATGCCCTATTAAGTTTCTTCTTTGTAAATGGCGAAGAGCCCAGAGATGTCAGCAATAAATTTCCCCGTCTCTCTCTTGCCTGGTGGAGGACCGATGGGCACACGAACGTGAGGCCCAGAGCTTTCCTCCTTTCTGTGGCTGCCAAGGCCCTTGTGCTGGAGGCTCTTGCTTGACCAGTCAGTGTGTGCCAGGGGAGCCGGCGGGCCTTGGCAGTGGGTGGTGGAGAAGGGCATTCCAGCAGCTCAGATGTCTTTGGGTATGTAGACAGCGCTAGACTGACACGTCTCCACATTCTGCCGGGGCCATAGTAAATAACACTCTTTTCTCTTCAGGGATTATTAAAAAAAAAAAAGAGCCATAATTTTTCCACTTACTCTCCTCTTTTATCCCTTCTCTCTTTGAGAAGATTAGCACTGCTAATCATAGTACAAACCTTCACTGTGGTGCACTGGAAAGAATGTACTCTGACTTTCAGACACTGTGTGATGGGGGAGCTGTGGTTTGAAGGTTTGAAGTGCAATTCTTTCTAGAAAAGTCTTTACTCTCCAATCCCAACAGGGCAAATTATCTGTAAATTTAACAACTTATATTTGTTGATATGGTTTGGTAAAGCTCAGATTCTTTTTCTTTTCCTGCTCTTAACCAGGCTTTTCTATTTCATTTATTTTTTTCTCCACTGGATTTATTTTTAGCTATCTTTTCTCAGTTCCTCTATGTTTTGTTGACATTATTAAATACCAGATATTCTACTTGTTTAGCATGTTTTGTTCATTTTATTTTTTTACTTTTCCTTTTTATTCTGTTTTCTAATGACTTTTCTCATTCTATGATATTTAAAGGGTATTCAAAATCACCTAATAGTGTAGAATTTTAAGAAATTTTAGCAGATATGCCATAATAAACTAGATCTAAATGTACACTCAAGGACAACCTAAAAGAAATTAATCTTCATATGAGCAGTAAGTTAAATAGTTGCTATTATATACCATGAATTAATAAATAATAAATGACTCATAGCTCTAATTAGTATTACTTTTATACAATCAAATCCAGGATTTCTCCTTTTGTTATTTCTCTGTTTCCTATATGAATAGCTCCACTCTGCATTTCCCTCAGATCTAATGTACTGTTTAATACAAATACAAATACACACACACACACACACACACACACACACACTAGCTGCTTAATGAAAGACAAAAGAGCCAGATAATTTTTTTAGGCAACCAGAGTTCCATTCTCCCATTGGGTTCTGTCTGCTTCTCTCTGCCTCAACCCATTTGCTGTACACACCCCTACATTATATGCCCAAGATTAACTATGCTCACCTCCTAGTTCTTTGGTTTTCCCCACCTTCCTGTACATCCTTAAATACTTCTCCATCCAAAAGGCGTGGTTCCGAGCAGGGGAGTGAGGTGAAGCTGTAGGGGAGGAAATAAGGATGACCATAGCATACGGAGGACTGCACAGCCCCTGGAATGTTTAAATGCTTGGTATAAATGCTTCAAAGAGCGAACAAAACAAAACAAAACTTCTTAACAGGATTGTGAATAGGATAGAGTGGGTTGGAGCTAAACCTGGATCTGCTTATTTTGATTGCAGTTGGTGCTTGTAACAGCAGATGGTATTTCCTGACTAACTGCTATGAAATTGTATCATCAGTGGCATTCCTAAAGACAACAACTTAGTTCTCAAAACAGTGTAGATGAAGGTGGAGTTGTAAATTTTTTAAAGTCACATTTCCCCACCCCCACTTCTTTGCTCCTCACCCTTTGGGGCAGGAGGAAGCTGCCTGGCAGTAGCCCAGTCATCAAAGCAGATGCCAGTTTCTGCCATGCTAATCTCCTTGAACCGGGAGGCCCTTTCTCCTTGGTGTCAATTGTCACCACGGGTCTCTCTCTGACCCTGCACCTGTTTCAGATCTGTTACGCAGACCATCACATTTTTCCTTTTAAAGAGGCAGATTATCTGTGGTTCGTGGAACAGGAAACAGCTATTGCAGGACCCTGCAAGCACTCTGCGATCCCACCCAGCCTGCTCCTCAGAACCCAGCACCAACAGCCCAGGGCTCCGAAACCTGCTTGTGCTAGACGGTGGGGGGAAGCAGCATCTAAGTCAAGTGATTTCTTCTATAGCTGCTCCCAGAAAATGGACTTGCCACTTAGAAGGAAAGACATCTGGATTGTAGGTAGCGTGTGCCTCATCTCGTCTTCCTTATTCTGGCGTGTGTTCCAGTCCGTGATGACACGGCGAGGTCGCAGACAGAATCCTGCTCTTCAGGACACACAGGTAGTAACTCACTTTAACTACGACAAATTCAGTATTTGACTGTTTGCCATCAGGGAGTGGTGCTTGCCGAAGGGGACAAATGCAGGCCCCGACTGCACTCTGGGGAGGCACGTGGTGCGTTTCAACATTTCTAACACCTAGAATGACTTTTCGGGAACCTCAAGACAGCTATAGGTAGTGCATATTAAAGTTGGTGATCTATTTTCATTTGTGAGAGCTAAAAATAATGTCGACATCTCTTCATTTTCCTACTTTTTTTTTTTTTTTTGGTACGTGCCCCTAGGGAACTGAACCCAGGACTCTGGTCCGCAGGCCGATGCTCCAACCTCTGAGTCAAACTGGCCAAGGCTCTTCTACTTATATGACTTAATTATGAAAGTAAAATAACACAGCAGCAAAACTTCCTTTCCCCTTATTAAGGAGTTTATGGCAAAAACTGTCTGAAGAGGGATGGTCTAGCGCAGCCTCGCCCCCGCCTGCCAGCACTCGATCCCTGGCCAATCCAGGGCCGGTGTTCAGCCAGGAATAGGAGCACTCCGAGAGAAGAAACATAATTCAGGTTCTAGGGATTTTAGCACTTTCCTCAATTTTTTCCATGATCATCTATTTTACTTCCAGAGACTTTTGGCTTTTCCCCCTAGTTGAACCCCTCCTATGAAATCTTAATAACATAGATAGACAGTGTATCTGTTTAGGTATTAAAGGTATATCT